CATATATACTATTTATATATAAATGTGACCTTATCTTATATTATTACCTATAACAAGCGTAGGAAGGTATTAGGTAGCTACGGCCGCCGCGTCGGTTGGACACATTAATACATTATACACGGAGTGATCGATTTAAATTAATGATACTAATTAGTAATATTTTATAAATACATTTTTGAACAATAATGTTTTAAGAGTTCTAACTTCTATAAGTATTTATAAGGTTAATAAATGTTAATAAAAAAATCTAATTATTTTCTTTTTTTTTTTTATAGTGGTTTAAAACTTTTAAAGGTTTTTAATTAAATTATTGAGTAATATAGATTTGTGTTGTTTATCAGAATCAGTTTAGATGAGCTGAGGACAACGGAAAGAAGTTAACAAGTAGGTATAAAACCTTAAGCAAAATAAATTGTATGACATATTTTTCACCTAAAAATAGGTACAAGACTTTATCAAAAATTAATGTATCAAGTTAAATTATTGTTCACCCTGATATACATATACATATACATACCGTAGAGAGCATGTTACCTGCATTGCAGATGTGTCCTCATCCGTCATGCTCAATTCGGGATTCGGGGAACTGCATATAAGTATTTATAGGAGTCTGGAGTTGTGTGGCGCCGTCTCGATTCTCCGATGGGGGTGTGTAGCGAGTGTTTGAGTATTGCCGAGTGCCGAGGTTTATCACCAAAACCAATTGCTTACAAAAATGTATAATATGTATCGCACGATACGGGTAAAGGGGTGGGGGGAAGGCTCCTCAAAAGAAAAACCCGCCCGAACCGCCAACGCATACGAGGTAGAGCCGGTAACATAAGACACACACATCTTGTTCTTGTTACCTATACTTAGACGAGCATAATATTATACCGCGGTAGAGGTACATACCTACCACAAATCACAATAATGATATTATGTGAAATATCTTGCTGTTAAATATTTTCCGGTCGAGATTGTCCGAATAAGGTTCAGGCACGATAAGACGACGATGACGACGAAAAACGTGAGTGCATTTTTCGTTTGCGTGCGTTTTTACTGGTATAATAATAATTAAACTCTGGATAAAAAAAAACCAAAACTGGTTATCGGCACCACACACGCGCTCCATCCTTTTGGAAAAACTAATTTACTCGGACACAATGAGCGTGTGGTACCTTCGAGTTGGTGGCGACGGCCGGTTTCTTATCTATATAATATTCTAGTATTATTATACGAGAAACGATTGTTTGTGATTTGTATACCTACAGTCTACACCATACAACAACAGTACAACCGTGTAATTACATCGAAATAATAATATCATTATTATACGACTAATCATTGACACGGCGGCAAAGCTCCATCTTTCAGTCGCAGCACATATCACAATAAATTTATTATTATTAGGTATAATAATCATTAATCGTACAACGGTTCTGCAATCCATATAACCATGGACGGATATAATACTGAAAATAAAATGTAAATACCTACTATATGTTATATAATATTTAAATTTATAAACCGTGATCAAAGACAAAGACTGTAGTTTAAATAAGTAGGTACCTACCTACCAAAGTACCATTTCAGTAAAGAAAATACATAAAAAAAAAATCAAATTTTCAAAATAGTTTGGATTGTTTTTTGTAGAAATGTAGTGTTACAATATATTATAGGTGCCTCGTGCCTATTTGATCAGTTAGTAAAAATCCAAATAAAAAAAAACTTCTAACAAAAAAGGTTTTAATACTTACCTGGACAGAAATCCTATAGTTACTGTGCCTTAATAGTTAGGTACCTACCTATTTAAGATGATTTTATTTCTAAGACAAGTATAACATATTAACACGTTGGTTACCAGACCTATTTTCAAACAACTAATCGTGTGTACCGCGAGAGTCACTGGTGACTTTCATATGGACTCTTTTAGTGTACCAATAGACATTTTAAATAAATTTCTCCGTGTACTATCTATGAAACTGAAAATCTTACAAAAAAATTGTAGTTATATATTATTTTTAAATAACATTTAGATCACGATTATCTATTTTTTTTTTAGAGAAGAGTAATGAGACGCACCTTGTCTTGAGGTAACACAAACACTAATATTTATTTTTAAAACAACTCTTTAATGTAATAATAAATAGCCAAATAGATACCTAAGTATACAATTTAATTATGCAAGTAAGTGATTTAAAGAAATTTTTTTTTTTTTGAGCTTGATTCCGGCAAATTGGGCCATAAGCTGTTGGTTTTTTTTTGTAGGTTGTTAGTAGGAGAAGGAAACAGTTTTGTAATTGTGGCAAGGATTCGTCGCTAAAAATCTCGGGTGGTCACCCATCCGGGAACTAGCAACGCCGGCCGTTAAATACACTCAGGGCGTTTCCGCAGTTTAGTGTACGCACCAAGCCACTAAAGAAAAATTAAAAATCAGGCAAACTTAACATTTTTAAATTAATTGTGGGAGCAAAATGTCCAGCGATTACTGAACAAATTACCCTTAATCCTTCATATACAGACTGTATGATGAACAAGGGATTGAAAGACTGCTGTCGGACGGAAACAAACGGTTACTCTAACAATAATGAATTCAAAGCCGGTCAACTTTTGTTTTTAAATTTTTTTTTTGTCGTTTATTCATTTTTTTCTCTCAAAGTCTTACAACAAATTCACCATAAACAATAATTCAATTTTTTATCACTCACATTTTTTATATTTATAATATTCAATATCGCACGTACAAATGGTTATAATTAATAATATATATATATATATATAGTTTATTACTATTGATAGTTGATACACATTATTATGTATAGTATATTATTATTTTATGTCTGTATATTATATTATTATATTATCGTCGCGGCGGTTCCGTTTCCGTTTCATCACATTCACAATTGCATTTTATATTATATAAATATAAATTAAAAAAAAAAAAATCATTACGTGTGCAATTATAATAATTTATTTACACACAATCACAAACAGTACACAAAAACACGCAGTACAAATAATATCATATATACATAATATAAATTATTGTTTTAATTAATATACTTATACAGTAATACGCATATTTGTATATTATAGACACATATTGTATATATATATGACGTGTTTACATACAAAATAATATATATACATACATAATATTGCATTATATGTTTATTATTATTTATAATAATTGCTTATTATTTACATATTATTAATATTATTATATTTGGACAGGACAAAAGGGTAATTATTTAACAATATATTATACTCTTAAGCTATAGGAACCTAAATTAAATTTAAAGGGCACAATAAATCAAATGCCGTATATATAATATGTATAGATATATGATGGGGTGGTTGCATAGTCATTATAATAATGTTTTAATTTAAAGACGTCTGTTCTTTAATCGAGCGTCAAATGTTACCTAGAAATCTTTAACGAAGACATGTATTCGTTTTAAAGTTATTTGTAGTTATCGATTACCGGTAGAGGAATTGTCATCGATTCATCGTGGTCAACCGGAGTTTTAAACATTTTTTTTTATGATACACCTACATGGTAAATCGAACGACCAAAATAAAAAGTAAACACGATTATAATAAGAATACAACCACCACATTTTGATTATTTAAATTTAATACATAAAAAGACGGTTATTTTTACAGAAAAAAATATCTAAAATTCACTTTTAAATGTTCATAACATTGTATAAATTTAAAATAAATTACAGTCATTTTCTCGAAAGGCGCCCACTAACAAATCAATATTAGCACGGTCTAACCACTGCACTTCAGATAATGTATTCTTTAGAGTGAGTTTATTTTTACAACCAATATACCTATGTATAAATAAAAAATGTATGTTGACTCTATAGATAACCGTCACGTATGTATTACATGAATACAATTTTATTCTAAATGTTTATAAAAATTACGCATTTTATTCCAGATAAAAGCTATAAAATTATAAATTAAAATTTGAAAAAAAAAAAACAAAGCATAAAATCAAAATGAAGACTAGGTAATATAATACAAAATTACAATAAAAAATGAATAACAAAATCAACAAAAATGTACACAACACATACCACAAATACATATTTCAAATGGGAATAAGATGAACATTAATTTTCAATTTAATGTGCAAATAAAAATTTGTTACCACTAAAATAAAATAATAATAATATAATATAATAATTATTGAGAAAATATACAGAAGTACAAAATATTTATTTATTGGGTACTTACAATTATAATCTAAAATAATATTACAATATTTTTTTTTATCAAATATGAGGTAATACTGAATACAAAATTGGAATCATAAAATTTGTTATATTTTTGGAATGGTATAAATATATATAATATATATGTATATAAAAAAAACACACTAATTTGGAGCAATATATTATAATATTATTCTGTTATTCGGTAATTTATTTATTTATGTGCATTAACTAGAGCGGTGCCAAAAGCAGTGATCAAATGAAAAACTATAAATCATGAATACAAAAAAAAAAAAAAATTAAATTAAAATTAACTCAGTCTTATAGAATAGGTTGAAATATATTTGAATTAAAAGTACATATCAAGGGCAAAGAATGGTAGAAAATTTGGACGGATATATGAAAAAAAAATTGCTTATATTTAAGATTGTTGAAAAGCAACCGAAAATGTAGGTTTTAACGTTTTATTTTTGGAGTAAATAGTATTGGTAACATCTCATTGGCAAGAACTAGGCAATAGATATGTTAATTTATTACTATATTTTTATGCGTATTTATATTATGGTTATCTTATCTATATAAATCGTCTTATTTCTACCATTTATAAATTTTGTTTAAAAACTTATAGGTATATTATTTATTAATTTAATTTTTTTTTGTATATTTAAAAAACATCTTACATTCTACATACCACAATGTATAAAATCACTAAAAAATTAGCGAACCCCATTGAACCACTCATACTCGGTATTGAGCAATTATCTTAACCGTCTTTTGATTAATGGCCCCAGATTATTTCTCTACCATCATGAAATTGTGCACTTGTTCTAGTTTGTATGCCAGTCGTTGTTTTTGAGAAAATTCGTCTTCTTCGAGTGTTACCATTAGCTGTTCATTGTACTTGGCAGCATACATATAGAGTTCATACAAAGCAGCGTTTGTATTAAATTCTGTCATGTGTATTCTTGATTCTTCGGCAAGCATGGCGTTCATGTCCTGGTCTGATATTGCTGGCATGATTTTAATGTCTGAATAGTAACGATCTACCCAGTCCTTGTACACCGGAATGTCCTTGGCGTAAAGTAATTTTGAGCTTGGTGAATCTTTGCCGAGTCGGTGGTCTGAAGTCGAACACGAGTCCATGAATGTTTGAGCAACAACCGACAGACACGAGTCAACTATGTTTGACTTGTGTATATCAAAAACAAAGTTGGGATTTTTGATCAGATTCACCCAAAAACGCAAAGGAAGACTGTTACTTTTCCACGTATGTACGACTTCGTGATCAGAGATACCATGCTGAAGTGCTTGATCATCAAGAAAATCAAACATGTATTTGATAGCCAAAGGCAGAGCACTTCCTCTATGCGCAGTGCTGAAAATCGTTTCAAATAAATCGTCTACGAACTTTTGTAGAGTACCTTTGGTAGCTAGTAAACGCGTAAGATATATTTCTGATACCATTTTATTACCACGTTCCCCTTCTTTTTGTGCATCGTTATCGTGATGTTTGACCAAATGCCAACATTTAAGACCTCCATCCTGATCATTGTTCAGCGGCGATGTAGCCCTGCTATACGGCGGGCTATCATAGTTGAATTTCGTTAAATTTAATGTTTCATATTTGTGTTTGTCCATGCGGTCCGAGAGTATTGATAAGTTGTAAGTTGACATTTGTTTAACGGAAACCAAGTTTAGATATGCACCATCTGGAACCATATAATGATGTAAAGTGTTTCGTTTCTTCCATTCTCCTTCCGTTTTTGTTGTTGAGTCTTCATCGTATAAAATTAACCGACCCTGAGTGCCGGTTCTCCATTCAACGTCGAGTTCACACGTCCGGGGTCGTTGACTACAAGGCATCGCTCGATAAATAGTATCCAATGCCTTTTCCTTTACTTGTGAAATTGTATCACAGTCTAAAACTTTAACAGGTATATTTTCAGTGTTTGGATCGAGTCCAGTAACGAAAGCAGTCTGTTGGGAAATCGAAACATATACGGTCATTGGAACAAAATCTATTGATTGTCTTATCAGTTTTTCTTCACTCAACGAATACCTTGCTTCAGAAGTAATTGCATCAACTGGTCCTTTATCAACTTGTTGTTTCATTGCTCTAAATAATAAATACAAAGGTTCTCCTGCACATTCCCTTAAAAATTTATACAATAGAAACGTAAACCACGACGATAGCATTTTTTCTGCAACACTTTCTGTACGCCTCAAAAGCAACTTTGGATGGCTGTTACCTTCCATGCATTTTTCAATTAGTTCTGCAAGTAAAGTCTTCAGTATATCAGTACAATATTCCATTTTGCTTTGCAAAGACACCATAATTAAAGAAGCTACATTCACTCTATCTCTCATTGAAAAATAGCGATTACTCTCTAAAGTTCTTATAAACAATAACAAAAATGTCTTGTTTAATATTAATTGGCCAAACAAGCGGATGCCCTTTTCTTTTCGAATTAATTCTGGTTTTTCTCGTTGGAGCACTCCATGGTCTTCCATATTCGGGAACAAAATTTTCATTGAATATGTACGATAATCCAAAAACGGAATACCGCCAGAAGTAAGATCACCAGCGATATCTGTTATCTCTGTTTGAAGTTCAGCAAACGCCTCTTTGCATTCTGCCGCTACACGTAGTTCTAATATGTCCATCTGTTCTTGCATATTTTTCAAGACTCGACTACTTTCAGTCGATTTGCGGCGATATGCGATCAAAAAGGCGATGAAAATAATAACAATTATAGCCATACCAATGATACCACCAAACAGGGCAGGATTAGTCAAAGGACTATTAACTTCAGATTGGGCATAGCTCAGTTTTCCTATGTTAAACTTCAGACTTGAACCCACTGTCACAATTACGTCTGGAAGTTCTTGAGAGCTGGTCAACCGAAAATCATCAGATACTGCTAATGGTTGAATGGGTGGTGGCTTACATGTGAGTTGATTACGAGACAACGAGGTCACGTTACAGTAACTTGTCCCAATTTGCACTGTAACGTCAGTTTCTTGGCAAGCTCGATCCAAGTAATGGCCATTTATAGTTAAATAATCACTTTTATAATATTTTATGTTTTCCCCTTGGACATCCTCAAATTGTGTGTAATTTGGATCTGGATAAAGTAAGAATTTGGAAAATCCAGTTTTCGATGATATATTTTGAACATTTGTTACATTGTCCATTTCAAATCCATAATCCAATTCTATTGGTGGGTTAGACGAATTAGCTTGGATTCGTTGAAGTGGTGTAACTTTAGGAGACTCACATATTAAATTAGAATTGCTTAGTACAAAACAATCCCCGAAATATGTATTATTCATATAGTAAACATACAAGCGGGGAGTTTGAACAAACGCAAAATTTTTTCCATTAACTGAAACTTTTATACCACCAGACACAATGCCTTTAGGAACTTTTACTTGGCTCGGAGAACCTGATTCAACAGATTCGACACTAGGATCGTCAGTATATTCATATGTTTGCCGATCAAAATTTCTTTCAGACTTATCGAATAACATTTTTATTTTTCCAACCTTTTGAGCATCAGAAGCACTAGTAATGCAAGTAGTTTCAGAGAATGTACTATTGACAACAATACATGGTAAAGTATCTTCGAAGAACACTTGAATATTACTTCCAGCATTCATGAACTTTCCCACTATTTTAAGGGTTGTTCCGCCAGATTTTGGACCATAACCAGGATACAAACTAGTTATGATGGGATCCACAAAATGATAATTTGTTTTGGATTCACCTCTGAATCCTTCCACTTGAACCACAATAGGACCTTCTCTTATGTCCTCACTGCCGGGACCATCAACTCTGCACACTATTTTTCTAGTAGTTTCATACAGATGCGAGTACGGAGCACACCGTAGTCCAGCTACAGTGACACCGCTATATATGTCATTAAAACTTTTTCCTAAATTTTTTCCAATAATTGTAATATTTGTGTGTCCTTCCCAAGGTCCAGCAAGGGGCCAAAATGATGTAATTTGAAGATTAGGACAGGTTTTGTTTCGATTGAGCCACGTAACAACTGCCCGGTCGCACTGATCTATAACTTCACAACTATTAGTGGCTTGACACCATCCACATTTATATTTTTCAGGCAATGCTAAACACATACCACAGTCGTCAGCCATATCACTACATCTATAAATAACAACATGGATGTCATGTGGATTATCCAATGGTTTTGATCCACCCCAAATCACAGCAAAAGTCGCTGTGATATTAGAAAAGTGTGAATTATAACTAAACTCCATCGTTTCACAGTATATGGTGTCTGCTACTAATGCAGCATTCACACTCGAAACACGACCCTCTATATTAAATTGGCATACAAAACGTGTTTGAGCAATAAATTGACCAATTATGTGTACCTTCACTCTGATCGGTTTTTTAATACCAGAAGGTACCAAAATTTCTGTACTTCCCGTATCAGATCCATTAATTGTTGGACAAAATGATGGTCCACTTCGGAAACTTGGACCAACACGATTTACACCAGTAACTAAAATATCATTTCTACAATTTTCTGCCGTGTCATGCGTACATCTATGAGCTTCAGCACACCAATCACATGGAAATGAAGAATTTACACATTGAGTACATGATGTGTAAGTACTGCAATCAAAGAATGTAAAATTAGTGGCTACAAAGTTTGGTCCCTTGGCTGTTTTGACCGACAATTTTGTAGTGAAATGATGTTGGTTGGCTGGTATAAATGGTAGTAAATCGGTTCGAGGTGTTGTACAGTTGACGCCAAATGATTTTCTAGTAGCATTTGTGATCAACACTTTATCAAACACCGAAAATGCACAGTAAAATGGTCCTTCAAGCAATGGCAAATTATCAATGACTAGTTCTAATGTTCGAGCTGTGGTCTTCTGAAGTTGACTTGGTGTAACAGAAGCTATTGTAGTACACTTACCACTTTTGTATGGTATCCAATATAATGGATCATTTGCTGCATCTTCACAATTTGAGCGCAAACTACATTTATTTTCTAATGAACACCACCCACAATAGGGGTCTTTCGCAGCCAAACAATCTAAACAAGATGAATACATATGACATTCTTGAACTTTAATCATAGAAACTCTGTTTCTAGTCATTGCATATAAATGCATTTGTTGGGGATCAACTATTAGATCTTGATTGATAGGAGAGTTTTCTTGAATAACTATATCTCCATATTCAATAGCTTTTACAGAACTTTCAACGACTATTTTTTTGACATGTCCATTGTTCGTCCCAACAAATACAACCGTAAAGTCACCAGTAGATGTTGCAGTTACTGCGGTGAGACGAGTATTGAACGTCAATACTGGAATAGCGGTCATAGGCGAATCGCCCCCTAAAGGAGTGTTCACATCCATACCACAAAAATCTTCAGTAATTGTCTGAAGTTTGGTTCCAACGCATGCATGACTTGGTGATATGAAGTCCAATCCTCGATTTCCTTTGCCACTAAAACATGCATTAATGTTTTGTAAAAATTTTCTTCGTATTGCTTTTAGTGAATAAACACATAGTGCACTTTGGTCATTAGGTTTGTTTTTCAACTCGCTTTCGCTTTGGTTACTGCTTGAGAATACAGCGAATAAAACGTCATCTTGAGGTGTAATACCAAGATCTGTAGCTAAGTCTGAGCCAATTTTACCCACATACCCAGCTTGTACTAAATTATATGACTGTTCTTTACTAGTGCACTCCAGCGGAATTTCTGTATACGAATAATAACTTTTATCTTCATGACACAACCTTACCATTTTAGATATGTATTGAGAAGGTGATGTTACACTACGCATTTGTGTTGTTAAAAAGTAACTGAAAGTTTCAGAACTAAAACCATAAACATAATTAATGAGATATCGTTCACGGTTCAAAGTATTTACATATACCCGAGTACCAGAAATGACTCCAACATGAGCAATGTTTAACATATTTTGACTGTCTAAACTTCTAGAAGATATAGCTGGAACATCAGAACGATAAGGAGAGTTGCCGGTAAATGTAACTCCAATATACATCACTTGCGTCATAGGTGGATTTGGAGGTCCTGGTGCAATAAAAGCAATAGTAGATGCTTCCATATTGTTCGCAACCACTGCTTCTTTAACTAATTGTACTGTATCAGATATGTTATTTAAATTTCGAACTGTACACATGCCTTGTGAAATTGATCCACAAGTGATTATCCTAGATGTAGTATAATCGATAACAAGTACTTTATTTACATTATCAGTTAAGTTTTTAATAGTGGAGTTAGGACACATATTGGCCCCACATTCAAAAGAATCCTCAATGGGGCCAGTAACCACTTGATTGGTTACATTGAGATCAGGCGTAAGTTGATATAGATGATTGATGGCACCCACAAATAAGCGCCCAGTGTTCTTGTCAATGACAAGGTTGTTGAACATTGGTGTCGAATCATCGTCTTTGAATATTTTTATTATATTGGAATGACCGTAATTTACACTTAGACATGCCAAATATAAAAGTGTTACCCACAGACGTTGGGAGGTCTGCATTGTACGACGTCTGGATTTTCCAGTACATGGGAATATGGAAGACATATGTTGATAGATGACCATATAAACAGTCTATTCCTAAAACAAAAATAAGCAAATAACATTAGAACTAAAATAAGCATTTTACCGGGCATTTTACAGTAAAATTATTATAATACAGGGTAATTCTTTAAAATAGAACACTCATTTTCTCAAAAATTATTAACATTATAGTAATATTATTTAGTATTATTATATTATTTACCTACTTAAATCTGTATAAAGTGATTTATATGTTTATATAAACCGGATTTGGAACGAGTAATTAATTATTTATAAACTAATAACTTATAATTTAAAAGTAGTTAAGCTAGTATAGCACATATAGATGAGCAGAGTAGTTGACTAATATATTTTGGGTACCCCTGTTCCGCTCAACATCACTTTTCAAACTTCACTTATAACTTATTATCTACGCGTTTTTTATACTAAAATTCTCAGAAAAATATTTTGCTTCAAAGTATTAAACTATAAATATATCCTGTCATTCGAAAAAATACTAACGATAAGAATATACATTTTTCAAAAATGTTGTTTTGATGTGACTTCAAATTATTTGAAAAATATTTTTTTTAATTTTAATATTTTCCGAGAACATGTTGCTGTGAACCTTTAAAAGAATCATCCTTTATAATACTTATACTCATAGGTAATCAATAATCAAAATCTATAAAAAAAAAAAGCGGGCAAGAGGGTGTCGCTCTGCTGTACAGTTGTTACCAGCGGGTCACTGTAATGAATGGTGTTAAATTTGAATTCAATGATATAAAATCATTGTATAAGAAAAACGATTCTGAGCGAAGACGATCAGTCAGCCTACGATATTATTAAGTATATTTGATGATATTATTGTGAATAAATTAATTTATATTTAAGATATTTACATGGAACCTTGTTTTAAATTTTTAACTACAAGATAATTATTAAATATGTGCCCATGTACCTATTTTTAATATTTTTGAACTGCTATTGTATCAATACATCAGGAGTCTTGTATTACATTTTCACGCTTTTTGGCCCAAAAAATACAGTTCTATTGACAATTGTAGCAAAAATGTCCGTAAACAGCTCAAAACGAGTATGAATATTTTCAAAGTTTTATGATGCATACAAAATATAAATATAAACATTCAGAGAAATTTTTTAAATTTTGACCTCCCGAAAACAACTAGATTCACATTCCAATCTGTTAGATTCCGCTGAAGAAAATTTAAGTAGTTTTACTGCCCCAAACGGTGTTTCGACAAATTAATTTGGTACTATAATAGGTAATTAAACAATAAAAAAAATCGAAAATAGAAAAAGGAATTCAAATATGTTTTCAAAATTATAATCGGGCTTTTGGTACTGGCTGCATTTTTCTTCAGCATTTTGAGACTTTTTTGATCGCGAAATGTTTTGACTTGTGACTGCGCGTATGTACCTAAGTTACTGATTATCAAGAATCTTAGCCGTAGCTTATCTTTAATTACATAAAGCGTTCCGGGAACTCACACACACTAATGATCAGTCACTCTACACACAGTCACACGCATAACTCATAACGTATATAGAATAATGCCTAAATACGACCCCTTAAAAATGGTTCGCTTTTAACAGCTTTAGGTAAGTGAAATAGTTTTTTTTTTAGTTTTTTAAAATATCAAAAATAATTTTTTGTGGTTACCTGACAAGTATATTTCTTAAATTTTTTTAATTCATATAATTTTCATAACTTTTTTCATACGTTACACATTTAACTAGTATCAATTTTTAATTTTTATTTGTCAGGTAATTCTGTTACACCCTGTGTAGTTTAGAACTAACATTGTGAGTCATGGTCTAATAACTTATGATACTAAATTTTGGTGTAATTAATTTATTTATTTTGGTGTATATTACCATTGATGTAGTAGGCAGTGGCAGATTTATGGGGGGTCAGAGGGGCCCGCCCCATTCTCCCTCTATTGGCCTACCATCTAGATTAATAAATTGGGCCGTTTTTAAATACCTGTGTCGTAAAACTTGGAAAAAGACAATGGGCTCCCCCCAAAAAAATCAATAAAATTATGTAGGTATCTAATAACATAATTTTGAACCGTTAACAAAATGTTAATAAATTCAAAAGCAATTCAATAGCACTGACAATATATTATAGGTACTCACTTAAAAATAGGTATAAATTAAAAGTATAAATATCGATAGACAATATTATATTTAAAATATTTTTAATTTTTGTATTTTTTTGTTGAAAAATCACATTTATTAGGTACTATCAATGTATAATTTTAGATTCTGAGTGAAACCACGAATGAATTGATTTTATAATGATGTGTTTTTTTATTTTTGTGTCTTTCATAAACTTTTAGGACAGTAAAAATGCTTGGATTTTCTTCAACAGTATCTTTTCTGATATAGGAAAGTGAATCTAGTTTATACTTTGGGGTGTCAAAAGTAAAAATTTTCCAGTAGTTTTTAAAAGCACCGTGAAAAAAAAAAGAAAAACAGGCCAAGTGCGAAGCCAACCCTCGCACGAAGGGTTCCGTACCATCATCAGCTATGTTGGCAACACTGCTTATATTATATATTCTAGGATTTTTAGTATTGAGGAGAAGTAATGCTAACGCAGTTCCTCTTCCGTCCCTCGATTAACTCGAAAAAAACAGAATAAAAGGATTTTTAGTATTTGTTGTTATAGCATCCACGGAAATACATAATCTGTGAAAATTTCAACTTTTTAACTTTCATGGTTCATGAGATACAGCCTGGTGACAGACGGACGGACAGCGGAGCCTTATTAATAGGCTTCCGTTTTACCGTACGAAAATACATAAAAGTGACCAAAATCTGCAAATTATTTCGAGTTAGAAATTCATAAAAAATGTTCTTTTTAAATCTAAGATTTGAAAATGTAATACGAGATTCCTCATAAGTTTGTCTACCTTTATCAAAAAAAAAATGTCTACAAGAAACTCAAATTAAATTTTTATGAGCGTTTGAAATTGAAATTTGTACAACATTTGATATTTACTCGATTTCTCGGGTAACGATTTTGTTAGTTATTGCTATTCAAAAACGAATAACTGTAGATACATGAAAATTTCACTGAATGTTTATATTTTCATTTTCTATACACCATAAAAATTTGAAAATATTTTGAGCTGTTTACGGACATTGTCAGTTTTCAATTTTCTTAGTTTTTTTTTCTATAAATATCAATAAAATTTTATTTGTTGGGTAAAAAAGCTTGAAAATTTAATGCAAGACTGATATATTGTAACAATAGCAGTTGAAAAATATTAAAAATACATAGACACAATTTTTTTTTATAAGCATTTAAAGTTCGAATTTTGACATAATTTTATCATATTTAAAATTTAATAACTATTTTGTAGTTTTAAATTTATAAAATGTTCAACTTTTATAGCTAAGGATAAAAAAATTAAAACAAGGGTCCACGTAAATAGGTGAATATATAAATTACTTTATTCACAATAATATCATTAAATATACTAAAGTAGGCTGACTGGCCGTTTTCGCTCAGAATCGTTTTTCTTATATTATAATGATATTATATTATTGAATTCAAATTTAACACCATTCATTACAGTGACCCACTTTTAACCTACTGTACAGCAGAGCAATTTTTTATTTTTAAGGGGACGTCGCGTGTGATTTTGTATTGCTGCTTAATACAATAGAGTAAAAACATCCATAAGTGTAATATAATTTACTAATCAGAGATTTAATTTTATTAAAAAATATATCTTTTTTACGTTTTCGGAAATTTAAACGCATTAAACGATTTTAATGTTTATTGTTATTGTACTTTCAAACGTTTTTTAATTTCTTTCGTTTTTAGCTATTAAATTTTTGTTTTCTGATTAATTTTTTTCTTTAATACATTATATTGTTATTTGCGATATAGATAGGTAATTAGCCACACTGTGATGTAAGAACTATTCAATTAGGTAGTAGAATTTGTTTTCCAGGCTAGTTAGTGTTAGTTTAGGTGTCAAATATTGCTTGAATATTATGGCATGAATGAAAGATGAAATAATAGATTAAAAAATATTTATAGCAAAAATCAACTTGATATATATATATATATATATATAGCATATGTCATAAAAATATCATATAAATATTTAGTAGGTAGGTTAGGTTAGGTTAACTTAACCTACACCAAACAAATTGAAATTTGAATTACAGAAATAAACTAATATTTTATTAGATTCAATATTTATAAATCAAGCAGAGATAAAGTTTTTCAAAAATATAAATTACTGTTGACATAGGTTTGTCAACTTTGAATTTTTCAGTTATAAGATTCATACTTTTATAGACTACAAGATTTAAGAACAATAGTAATGTTAAGTTTGACGTAAAAAAAAGCACAAAATTGTTATTTCGATTTACGTTATTTGTAATTTGTTATGTTATATATTATACGTTTATTGTTTATTTTTAATCATTAATTTATTATGATTATTGATATTTGGTTTTTTCGTTAATTTTTTTTTTTCATTCTCCGTTATAACGTTTTGAAGCCCTGAATTAACTTAATTTCGCTTTGTAACATAATCATTACTATTATTCACGATAGAAATTTATAAACTGTAACGGGCAAGGTGTATATTATATAAATGTCATTTTCCGTGGGACTCCCGCCGGCCTACGAGTTGATAAGCTTTCTATCAGGAATAGTAATATTCTACAAAATTAATATATTTATGGTTCAATGGTTCATTCCTCCGGTGATTTACAATAGTACAAAATATATTGTAACACTGTAAAATTGGGTATGTAAACGTATTGGTTTTCACATGCTACTGGTCTTCCACATACGTAATAAAGAATTCTTACTACCTACGATTTATTTATAGGTAATACTAGAGCAAATTTACCAATCATTATCGAACTTGTTGAGCATTGTTTATATTTCCTCTAAACAATGAGTACATTTATTCTAATATTAACTATAAGTAAACTAGGTATGTTAGTAAGAATCCCGAGTGTAATTTTACTATGTTATGCGAGTGTAA